TGTAAGGTGTTAGGTGTGCTAGAAAGGATATGGAATATTAATATGTGTGTAGGTGTAAGGTGTGGATGGTGATATGGATAGAAAGTGTGTAAGAGTATTTATTGTAGAGTGTGAATAACAGGTGTGGAAGTGTATTAGTGTGAGCGTGGTGAGTGCAGAGTGTGATGGATAGACGTTAGTATGAAATATGGATGTTGATATGGAGTGTGGGTATGGGTTGTGAATGTAGGTATGAGGTATCCCAATGTAGGTATGAATGATAATGTATGTGTGTGTGGTTGTGGAATATGGTTGTTGATGTTAGGTATGGATATGGATATGTGGATAAGAGTAGTGGATGTGAAGTGTGGAGTATTGGTATGTGGAGTGTGAAGTAGGTATTAGAGTACAGATGTGGAAGTATGAAATTAATGGTGTGTATATGTATGTGAGGTGTGGGTACAGAAGGTGTAGAATAGAATTATTGGATATAGGTATGTGGAATAATGGATATGGATATGAATATGAATATATAAGGTAATGTATTTATAGGTATGGCAGTATTGAATTATGTATATAAGAGTGTAGGTGTGGATGTGGAGTGTGGTCATGTATATATAGAGTGTAATAGAGTGTAGGTGTCGATAAATGGATATATATATATGGATGTGGTTGTAGGTGTGAATGTAGGTATGGAAGTGTGGGAGTGTAGGTGTGTGTGTGTGAATATAGATATGAAATGTATAGTGTGGTAATAGATGTGATTGTAGATATGAGAGTAAAATGTGAATGTAAGAGTATGAATGTAGAGTATAGGTATGAATATAGAGAGTAAGAGTATGTAGATGTAGATGTAGGAGTATGAATGTAGATGTAGAATGTGAAAGTGTGGGTATGAATGTAGAGTATGAAAGTAAAAGTAGAAACTTGTGAAGTATGAAGAAGTATGAATGTGAATGTAGAGTGTAGAGATTTTAGTATGAAAGTGTAGAGTATGAAGTGTGAAAGAGTAATAGGTTGTAAAATTTGGATATGAATGTAAGATGTGAAATTATGAAACATAGAATTATAGAGTGTGAATATAAATTGTAGCTATAGGTAGTATGAATGTAGTAATAAGAGTATGTAGATATGATATGTAGATATGAATGTAAGATATAGAGTATATTAATATAAATTGTAGATATGTGTATTTGTATTAATATGAATTTATAAGTATGAATTTGTGAATGTAGATATGTAGATATAGAATAGAGTATATATGTAGAGTATGAAGTATGGTATATGGAATGTAGTTGTATGAAGTAATAGGTATGCATGTAAATATGGATGTGAATGTATGAAGTATGTAGAGTATAAGAAGTAGAGATATGAATGTGAATGTGTGAAGTGTGGAGTATGTATGGAATATGATATGAGTGTTGAGTGTGAAAGTATAGAGTATGGATATGAATGTATGAATATAGATATGGAGATGTAGAGTATTGAGTATTGGTATTAGAAGGTACATATGGATATGAATATGTATGAATGTAAATATATGAAACGTAGGTAGTATTAGAATTAAGTGTGAATATAGAGTGTAGAGTATGGAGTATGAGATATAAAATATGGAATGTAAGATATGTAGATATGGAATATAGAAGTATGTAAGATATAAGATATCAGTATGAAATGTAATGAGAGTGTAGAGTATGAATAGTATGAATATTATCAGTATTTATATAGTGAAGTAAGATATTGTGAAATGTAAGAATTGTAAAAGTGTGGGTGTATGTAGATGTAGTGTAGCCAAGTGTGAAGTGTGAAAGTATGAAGTGTAGAAGTGTGAATATAGATATGGAAATTAGATGTAAGTGTAGAGTATGGAAATTATGGATATGCATATGAGATGTGAATATGCATGTAGGTATGAAAATTATGAAATGTAAGATATGTAAGATGTGAATGTAGAGTGTGAATATGAAGAGTCTATGTGTTAATGTTAAGGTATGAATATTGAGTGTGCTAGATATTAATTGTAGATGTAAAGTATGTGTGAATATAGATATAGATGTGAGATATGGAGATATTAATGTAAGTGTATGGAATATTAATATAAGATATATATATGTATGTAAGAGTGTGAGAATTATGAGATGTGAATATGAATATGAATTGTGAGTGTGGGGTGTAGAGTGTGAATATGGGTATGAAGTGTGGAGTGTGGGTGTAGGTATTACTAGAGATATGAATATTAATATATGTGTAAGAGTGTGGGAAATTATGGATATGATGTAAGATAGAAATGTAGGAGTTGTTGTTGTGTGAAGTTGTGAATATGTGGGTGTGAAATTATGGAGTGAAAGCATGTAGAGTACAGAATGTGGATGTGGACATTATGTGTGAGTATGAAATGTTGATATGGGTGTAAGAGTATGGAAATGAATGGATGTGGGTGTGTGGAGTGTCCCAATGTAAGTGTATGAATGATGTGTGTGTGTATGGTTTATGGAATATGTGGATTTAATAAGAGTATGAGTGTGGATATGAATATGAATATGGAGTGTGGATGTAAGTGTAAGAGTATTGGTGTGGAAGTGTGAAAAGTGGGTGTAAAGTACAAGATGTGGGTGTGAAGTGTAGAGTATGTATATGCTTATGTAGAATTGTGGAGTACAGAGTGTGAATAGAGGATTGGATATGTATGTAGAAAGTAGATATGAGATATGAGATGTGGATATAGAGTATGGGTGTGTAGAGTAATAGGCATTAAGAGTATTGAATATGTATATAGAGTGTGGGTGTATAGATATAGAATTGTAGTCGTGTATATAGAATATGTGAAATGTGGGTGTCGAATGGAAATTAGGATATATATATGAATGTGGTTGTAAGAGTGTGAAATGTGAGTGTGGGTGTGGGTGTATGGGGTGTGGGGTATGTGTATGTAAGTATTGGTGTGGGTGTGAATGTTAGAGTGTAAGAGTGTGGGAAATTGTGGAAATTGTAGGAATTGTAAGTATGAATATAGATATGAATGTAGAGGTGTGGATGTGGAATATGATTGTAGATATGGAAAGTAAAAGTGTAAGATGTAAGGTGTGAATGTGGAAGTCATGTGAAAGTATGAATATAGAAAGTGAAGTATGGATGTGGATGTGGAGTGTGGAATGTGGATATGAATGTGAAGTATGGATGTGGATGTGGGTGTGGAAGTTGTGAAAGTAAGAAAAGCAGTGTAAGTGTAGAGTGTGAATGTGGATGTGGAGTGTGAGAGTTTTAATTGTGAAGTGTAGGTGTGAAGTGTGAAGTGTAAGAGTGTAGGATTTACTTGAGATATGGAAATATGGATGTGGAGTGTGAAACATAGAGTATAGAAATATGGAATATAGGTGTAGCTGTAAGAGAGTATGGATGTGGAGTGTGAATGTGGATATGAATATGGAGATATGAATATAAGAATATTGTATATAGATATGAATATGGATATGAATATGGATGTGAAATATAGAGTATGAAAGTGTCAATTGTAAGAGTATGGAATATTTAGTATTTATATAGGAAGTAGAAATGAATATAGAGTATAATTGTAAAATTATGAAATGTGGATGTGAGAGTGTGGTGTGTAGGGTGTGGGTGTGGAGTGTGGATGTTGACGTGAGAGTGTGGATGTAGGGTGTGGATATGGATGTTGATGTGGGTGTGGATGTCAGTGTGGGTGTGTTTACTAGAGTGTGGAGTGTGGATAGGGATTGGATGTATATATGGATGTGGATATGGAAGTGTGAAGTGTGGGTGTGGGTAGTGGGGTGTGTGTGGAGTGTAGGGTGTGGTATGGAAAGTATGGATATTGTGACATGAGGATTTGGATATGGAGTATGGAATGTGGATGTGGATATTGATGTGGAGTGTGGATGTGGGTAATGGGTGTATTTGCTTAGAAATGTGGGGTGTGGATGGAGGATTAGATGTATATAGATGTGGATGTGGGTGTGAAGCGTGGAAGTGTAGAGTGTGGGTGTGGAGTGTAGGTGTGGAAATTGTAAGGAGTGTGTAGGTGTGGAGTGTAGGTGTGGATGTGAATATGGATGTGGAAGTATGGGTATGGGTGTGGATGTGGATGTGGATGTTGATGTGGGTGTGGGTGTGGATGTGGGTGTGGGTGTGTATTTAGGTGTGGGGTGGGTGTGGAATGGGGATTGGATGTACATGTGGATGTGGATGCGGGTGCGGGTGCGGGTGTGAGTGTGGGTGTTAGTGTGGAGGTGCTGTTTCTACACGTCTTCACTGATGTCTGTTTCATAATGTTGTTCCACAGTGCTTATTTCATGTTACATACTTATATCACTGTGCTCTTTGTGCTGAGAACACCCGTCGGTTATCAAAGACTAAATCTAGCCTGAATATCCGTGGGTAAATTGAAATAGTGATACTTATCAATGTTTCATGCCCACACTAGGTCCAGGCGTAATGTAATAATGTAAGAATACATCCCTAAAACATTAGAAAATTACAACAAATTCATGTTTGAGAGTTAAGAGGCAATGAAGCACGAGAGACAGAGCCCATTAAACGCGAGAGATAGAATACATAAGATCCTTTATAAAGGTTACTGGTAAATGGAGAATCACCAGTAAGTAGTTTCCAGTGATTCTCCGGTCACTAGGCAAACATTGGTTCAAAGTGCCATGCGGCATGCACATACATCAAACATCAAACGACACTGGACTTTAAATGTGCCAATGTCCACATGCAGTACTGTATCCAGGGAATGGGTGAGGTAACTGTTGAAACATAGGTACAGCGTCACGGACAGGCAGCTTGGTTTGAAGGCTCCCTCCGAGAGGTGATAAATGGAAAGCATACGCTGGGGATAAATGATCAGCGTTTGTTTTGCCGATACGGTTATCTGGTTCCGTGCGATACTTGAGAACATAATGCATTATTTATTTATTCCCCATGAAATAACACCCTTTTGAGTTGCGCTATCATTGGGTGATATTTGCGAACCAGGAAGTCGGGTGAATGTATATAAAGAAATCTCCGTCTGACAAGGATCAGCTTTCATCATGCGTCTCGTAACAAGCTTGTTGTTAATTCTCTGTTCTGACGGAGTATACTCCTTTTTCCCCAGCAGACTGTCAAGTGTCGACATAGGAGATGGAACATGGACTCATGCAGACATTACAGAGATGGGGATTCTGAAGGCTGTAGCCGCCTACTTTGAGGCCAACCCGAGACCCAACACCACCCTTGCAGCTGGAGATCTGACGCAGATGAAAAATATGACAACGAGGAAACTGTTCCAAGCCTACTACGGAGGTGACGTACCATACTAAAACCTTCATTACCCCATTCTACTTCAGAGTAAATGACTTCATGTACACATGCTGTTAACGCGTGTCTAACAAGAGGGGGCATTTTCTGTGTCCATCTCTACCAGGAAGCAGTGAAACTCCCTCATCTGAAATTATTACGTTTCAATTTACTTCTTACAGTACACATATATACTCACCAACCTTTCGAACTTATCCTTGTTTGTCTTGAACAATATCTTTGCATATGATGCATATACCTCAATTTCGGCTCTGTACTTATATATTTTAAATTTGATTCTGAGCAGACGTTACTGAAGAAGAGTTTTGATGAAGTATATATTCAGATATGAAGCTGGCAATATTGCCTGTTACTTGTTGTTCGTGTATGTCGTTAAAACCGGTCGGTAATAGAATATGAAACTCTTTATGCCCATTTGTTACCAATATACATTTCTCTACCAGGCATAATGTGGCAATAACTATTGTTTTACATCAGTGTTTTGCGACAGGCAAATACGTACACGGGATATATTTCATATTCACCTCTTACAACATGACGTGAGTACCTTGTACAAGTCGCTAGCACAAAGGTTGGTGGGTAAAGTCCATTAAAGGAATAAGAACTTGTGGCCCGTATTAAATGAATGATTCAATTCTTATCAAATACTAATTCCACATAATGATTGTTTTAAATACAAGATGATGTTTTTGTCGTTACAGAAGAAGTGTCAGAATCCCGTTTTCGGGAAACTATTAACAGCATCATCAATGCCAATAACCAGGTGAATCTGGATCAGTTCCGGACGGCGGCGTGGCACTGTAACGGGGAGACAATCAAGGAAGGTAAATCAGATGCGTGGTGTTCTTGGACATGCGCTGACAGTCATTTGATTTGTTTTGTAAATATTGTGTTTCGCTGAACATGCCATTATTCAACATTCTTATTTCCACATTCATAAGAAATCTCGGCCAAAAGCAGAGTTGATTGTACAGTTGTGACTATATCATGGGCAGAAATTTGTTTCAGCAGTCGTAAGACGCTGCCTATAAACAAATCCAGTGATTGTTAGCATTCGATACGATGACAGAGCATGTGTTTATGAATCACTATGAAATAGTGATGATACCCTGTGTTCGCGAAAAGGCGGGCAATCAATATTTAAATATGATTTATCAATGATATATGCTTTAGTGATTAGTATATGTGTGAAAGTGTCAATGTGGGGATTCACGTCACAGTGTACGTCATACAACCATTACTTTTTATGTCACACATTCGAACCTCATTCAAATTCTGTCCCTCCGTACTCTGTTTCAGCAAACCAGAAGATGACGAATCTAAGAGAACAGGCCATCTTCGTTTTGTCACAAAACAATACCAACTTTGACATGGCCAGGATTTTGATTGGTCAGTTTCTGCACATCATGCAAATGTTCTACAGTAACACAAACTGGGTTGAGTTCAAAGGAGCTGTTCCATACTACTCCCTCGGTAAGTCTCACTTTCAGTTATTGCGACACCACGACTTGGCCCAACAATTATTTATAACGCCGCGTGTCATTGAGACATTTGATCACCACGTGAACATCAGATTACAGGTTATGCATGACTTTAAACCAGGAAGTAACCTAACCCGCCGTGAGGTAGACGGATGCGTACCAACCCTTCATTCTCTTTACACAAATTTGCAAGACCTAACTATTGAGTTATACAGTTAATGCCTGGAATAAGTGGACACACGGGACCAAAGACAGATTTTACACCATTGAAATCAACGCAAATACAGTAACGGTGGGATATACTTGTTATGAACTGATTTTCATATGTGACTCTTTATTATTATATATAACCTACTAAAATCATATGTAATACTGAATTGGTGATAGTAGTATTCAAAAGATATCAACACAGTTACACTATTTATATATCCCACAAGGAACAGAGGCTGAGAAAGGTTTAACTGAATACGCCATGACATATACTTAACCCCATAAAAACCCAAGTACATTTTCATGTCAATATTTTCAAATGTGACCTTTTGTATAATATCGTTAACAATATTAATAAGTTGTGAGTGCACATGATGTAATGGCATACATTATTTGCACATACGAAACCGTTTGCGCCAACGCAGCCACAATGCATGACTTTAAACCAGGAAGAAACCTAACCCGACGTGAGGTAGACAGATGCGTACCAACCCTTCATTCTCTTTACACAATGCAAGGCGTAACGGTTGTGCCATGCGGTTAATGCTTGAAATACGTATACACACGGGACCAAAGACAGATTTTTACATCATTGAAATAAACGCAAACACAATGACCGCATTTTCATATGTGGCTTAAAGTTATAATATATAATCTACATTGTACTAACATCTTATGTAATACTGAATTGATGATGGTCGTATTCAGAAGATATAAACACAGTTACACTATTCATAAATCCCACAAGGAACAGAGGCTAGGAAAGGTACGCCATGATATATACATAAAAACGCAAGTACATTTTCATGTCAAAATTTTCAAATGTGAACATTTGTATGTTATCGTTAACAATAATAATCTTAAGTTGTGAGTGCAGGTGATGTAATGGCATACATCATTTGCAAAAAGCAGCAACAATAATCATGAATTATGGTCTTACAGTCACTGGTATTGCCAGTGAACGAGAGTTTTCACTGAGATGTACCCTTTATAAAGTGGTCCGTCCCCAACAACATTCATTCTGTGAACGTGACGTGAATGATGTTCATGATGAACGATGCCACGAATAACACAGTTGCAGAGAGGAGTGGCTCTTAGGAGTTGGCAGGAGGTACCACCGCCACTAATGTAGCCAGACGCTTTGGATGTCAAGTGAGCACTATCACAAGGCT